AAATGTCTTAATGGTCTTGCACCTCTTTACTTACGAGATTTACTTGAATTATATTCTCCGTCCCGAACGCTTCGTTTCTCCTCTGATCCATTAATTTTATATTCTAAACGATCAAGACTCAAAACAATTGGTGATAGAGCTTTTAGTGTACAGGCGCCAATTACATGGAACAAGCTTCCATTTTCTATCAGAAACGCTGTGTCTCTTTCTGTTTTTAAAAAATCTGTCAAAACGTTCTTATATAAAGAAGCCTTTAGCTTATAACGATTTTAATTATTTGTGAATCTCTTAGTAATATTTTATTTTACTGACTTCTGTTATTTTGTTTACTAAATAATTTATGATTATATTGTTTATCTGTGATACTGTTTTGTAATAATTTATAATGTGTGATAATTTATAATGTTTTGTAAAGCGCATTTGAGCACCTAGTGAATTGTGCGCTATAAAAATGTTCATAATAATAATAATAATAATAATAATCTTGTCAAAACTACAACCATTTATAACTTCGCTCAAAATAAAGTAATTTGTAGGAACTTTTCAACATATTCGTTTTGCATTTTATATTTTTGAAATATTATAGCGAGAACGGTAAGCTCTTTATCTAAATGTTACATAATGGCCCTTTAAGAAAGAAACTATACAGCATATATATACACACACAACAGCGCAAGATGGACATTAACATTATGACAAAGATCACTTCCTTTGACCCGGGGCCCAGGATTTCTAAGTGATAGATGGACTGTACCCGCTATTTATTTATAATTTTGAGCTACTTTAAACCTACATTTGCGACCCAATTCTTGGACGGGAAGAACGAAATCAAGCTAATTACTGCCTTCGTTAGTGTTTCAACAATAATTATCAGAAATGAGAGTAGAGCCTAACAATATCTCCAATTGTTTAAAGGCAAATCTTCACAGTGTTTAACCTTGTATATTGTGTTACGCCCAACAGTCTTTATTTTATAACACATTATGTAAAATTTGAGACCCTTATGAAGATATTTTTTAAGTTTTTGAATTTCAAGGTGGAACATGATATTAAAATGATTACAATTATGACTTTGGTAAGGACCTATTATAAACCACTATGTGGATTTGTTCACAACGTCACCATTGTCTACAACGTTTAGCATCAATGTTTAAACACATCGAATACCCCAGGTCAATTAGAACAATAATCAATATGAACAAATGTGTATGGTTTCCTATTTCTCGATAATATATTGATGAATATCTCTAATTTCTATCACAGAACGGGTTAATGACCGTAGGAGACGACGTGTCTTGGTACCAAACAGATACAATCCTTGGATCATTAATGGAATCGCCATAAAGAGGAAAAAATCTTATTGAAATATCTGTTTCTCTATATTCCTGTCGAAAAGGGTACTTTCTTTTAAAATTTTAAAACATAAAATTCCCAAAGATTTGATAGACAGATCGGATTTTGGATCGGTTCCTAACCTATTTTATAAAGTTTAGTTAGATTCGAATCTGAGTCAAATGCTTTCGGGGTCGTTTAGATTGATGACAACCGCTAAAAATAAACAGAAAATAGCAAAGACAAAACACATTCACTGTATATTCTACAAATTTCAGTTTATAGAAGTTAAATATCTCAGTAGTCAGGTTGTCAGTGATATACCCGAGCTGGAAAAACGAAACCGAGAAATGCATGTCCTGTAAATCGATGACTATAGTATATTGTTGCAAATGAGTTAGACCACTCCGTCTATCGTACAGTTTTTACTCTATGTTTCGGGTTAGAATCAAGTTGTCGTTTCATAGAATTATTCAGTAATATAGGATCCTCTAAATATGAACTTTATAGGGATTTTTTTTATTCTATAAGTAAAGGAGCAAAGTTGGTACCCATAGGAATTCCAATATTCTCACAATAGCATCTATGATTTGTGACAATATAAGCACAGTTGTATTTCACAACTAAAATATGATACTATGAACAGAATTATTTTTTCTAAAAATACACTCACGTTAAAATTGAACTAGCCCTTAAAATTGAATTAGCACTAACGATAATGATTGTATAAATATGAACTCTTGTGCTCTAATCTAGACGCCCATTTTTTTAAAAAGGGAGATCAATAAACATTACAGAAATAAACCATATTGTTTTAGGTATTACTATTGACAGTAATAGATCAAATATATGTTAGAATGACAGATAGGGCACAATGCATATCTTTTCTTCACGTTTAACCAAGGACAAAATCATTCCTTTCTTAATAATCAGCAATCTTAAAGACACGTCTTGTCTTCTCATCTCCACATAATTGACAATTTTATGTGGGAGAGGATTTGATTTTTTTTAAACGAGGGTATGGCTGTTATGAATATTCTCATAATACCAAATGCATTAAGATCACAATTACGCCACAAGATAGTTTGTCATCTTAAGACCAAGGGTTGGTAGAATGGCCAACCAACAGCTGTTACTTGTTGTTAATCATGCTTTGTAGGACATCACCGAGTTTCAGAAATAACAATATTGTTTTATATTGGTGTCAATAAATGTTTTCTGTACTTATTAAATGCTTTGTATGACATCACCGATTTTCAGAAAGACCAATATCGTTTTATACTGATATCGTTAAATGTTTCTGTACTTTTTAAATGCTTTGTATGACAGTTTTAGAAATACCAATATCGTAATATTTTGTTGTCAATAAATGTTTCTGTATTTATTAAATGCTGCGGTTGTAGGACAGATGGCTTCAAATTTTAAAATGCCAAATTCAGATGTCTCAAAGAACTAGAACGGGTCTCTGGTGAAAAGATTACTTATATATGGACGGTTTTACATTTACAGAGCGCATTAATTCAATAGACTAAGAAAAGGTTATCCCTTTGTTGTATGCCTCTGGAGTTTCTCCTGAGACCACCAAAGCCAAATAACTTTCTACTGAGTTGTAAATGTAGTTGCAATCGGTTGTCACGTTTGCTATAATACGAATCATAAAGGGGATTTACTAAGACATGTATCTTCTCGTTCTAAAGAACAATTTATCAGCATTTGTCACAAGAAAGTTTTCTTTAAAAATCCGATACAAGAGGTGAACTTTAGAGTGAGAAACATTATCCCTGGTACTAATTGTGGTATTTGCTAGTGGTAATAGGTGGTCACCAGAAAGACCAACAAGATTATACTCAGGCAAGATCTGACGTTTAACATAATAGAGAATCATTACATTTTGTTATGTTTGATAGGATAAAATTGTTATTCCTGTGTGCTCTTTCCGAATAGTACATATCGTTTTATTTTGTTATGACAGAAAAAGACACTATTATGGATCAGATTTCCTTTATACCTTTCATTCTACATGATTATATCCAGAATCAAAACACGGACAACCTAGACGAGGACGAAACTCATTATTATTTGCAGCTAAATGGATCTTCGTAGTTTGATAGTATGAAATTTTTATTTTATGGGCTTATCATTTTATACATTATATGATAATTATAAAACTGTTATATGAATTCTGTTAAATCACAAACATAGTGACATAAACGTTAAAATAAGAATGAATAAGAAACTGTACCGACAATAATAATTCTATTATAGCATCCTTTACCAACACCAGTCAAATACAATACAGAACTAATTTGGGATAACAACTTGACATCAGTTTAAGTAAATACAGTTTAACGTTTTATTTTATGTGCAACAATCGGACTAACGAAGACGGGCATGGACCATGCAGGGTGATAAGCGGTGAAATTTTGCCTTGCCAGATGCCCCCCCCCCTCTTTTTCTAATTCCAACAGCAAAAGATTCTTTAACGGGCACGCCAGTACCCATACGTCAACTCAGGTTTTAGTATCATCCGGTCTAGATCTAGATCAAATCTCCCTGGATCCCGAAAAGATATATAGGGTTTAAATAGTGTGTGTAGTTTATATATTACGAATTCACAAGCAAGCCGTTACCCGAAGTGAATTTACAAGTAGTTTTGTGGCAATCTTATAAAAACACAGACCCTATTTCGTTTCGTATTTTATAGTTCAAAATTTCGTTTTACTTGTCTTTACTACACTAGGACCTGGAAGAGTTGTTATCATTGACGTGTTCTGGGTGATGTGGGGCATTAGCCAATGAAACGGTCTGTTACGGCGAGCTTTTGGCGTGAGGTGCATGGAATTGCGGGTATTCCACTAGAAACATCAATGCTGATTGGTTAGTTAAATGTCTGATGTCAGATCTTCATGTAGTGTAGGCTATCGAAAGTATAAAATATAAACGAAACGAAATATAGATCTGTATTTTATTCAGATTGCTTTGTAGCATCAGTAGTTAAATTGCATCTGGTTTTACGGATGAACCTAGGTTATTTTGCATAATAAGATATATGAGATTCCATATCCAAATAGATCCCAGACATTACCAATATTACTAGACCTAAGTTTGGATGTTTTGGAATATGACATATTAGCAGCTTTATATAAAAGGTCTGATTATCATATTTAATCCCCTGCTCGACCTTTAAAATAGAATTATCAAAACAACTTTTAACGCTGTTGTCTGTTCGTATCCTTATAATAATCACAGACGCTTTTATAGTCGTCCAAGTTTCAAAGTCAATTTTCGGCATGGTCCACGCGTACCGACGTTAAAACATTTTAGCTCAAGAGTATTAATTTTTGGACCAAAATGTTTTGTTTCTTTAATAAAAGTATCTTTGATTGTATATGATCCAAAACTCTTTCTAGCTATTGTATAAATGGTAATTAAAATCGTACCAAGACGTACCCTTGTGGAACGCCGAATAAAATATCTCAAGATGGTTTGTGTGGCAATGAAACAGACGAAATGTTAAATAAACAAATATAGCCCGGTGCAAAGTAAAATTGACAAATCCACATTCCCAAACTGCCCCCCCCCCCCGAAAGGTTAATAGTAAAACCAGATGGCTGGTATTGTTTTTCTAGTTTTTATCTTCTTCCTATTTGATTCAAATCTGAACTCACCTTTGTGGTCAGCGTGGCACTGTGCAGGATGTCACCAGGCCAAAATAACTGTGATGCTACTGTAACAGCTGTTAAACTTAAACTAACATTTCCACCAGCATCAAATGTGGTATCCAAATTGTGCTCATCATGGAAGACGTATTTACGGACGGCATTATGTAACAAAGCCAATATTATAGAGAATCCTCCAAAACCAATTAACATCAGTAGAGCTGTTTCATGTTTACTTAAAACTGCTTTCACCCTGAAAAAATAAATAAATAAATATGTGACAGATATATGAAATGCACACCAAGTCACAATATATGCAGATATGTCTGAAAGTAATGGTGTGAAAAAGTGCTCCATAACTTTCACCAAATTTTTTATCATATAAAATACAAACGTTTATTTAGATGCAATGAGCTTATTGCAAATACAGGCAACTCATCCAAAAGACAACTCATCCCAAGACAACTCATCCAAGTGTAAGACAACTCATCCAAGTTAGAAAACAACTCATCCCATATTCTGTTCCCGATGTAAAAAAAATCCTATATGTACGAAACGAATCGCTGTTATCACTAATAATTGTACAGTTAGTCCCAAACGTCTTGCCATTTTTAAATAAACAAAGAAGCATAGACCCCAAGTTGCTAACTAATTCAACAGGACAGTTTATAAAGGTTCTCGAAATATACATCTTTAAGTAAATACAAAATAGAGTCTTTATACAATAGGATTGGATGATAAATGCAGGGTGTTCAAAACAAAATGTGGATGATGAACAGACGGACAGACATGGGTGCATAAAAAATACGCAACATATATGTAACGTGTATGAATTTGGTTTACAATCCCTTCTGACCACCCAAACCTAAAATGCATATAATTACATATAATTGTCTCTAAATAACAATTTTATTTATATATTTTATCAAGTATGCTCTGTGTATTCTCGTTTTATTACGTCAATGTCTTATTGTCGTGCTCTATAATATGAAGAGCCCCAGGGAAGAATGATCCAAGTCACTTTTTTAAATGAATCCCAGTTAATGGCGCCATCTGGTAGAAAACTGTATAAGCTTTCTGTGGAACAATCAATTTCAGGTAAAAACGACCGGAGTCACATCGAACCAAGGCCCTTCTGAAATGGCCTCCCGGACAAATACGTCCATCGTATCCTTTATTTGACCTTTATTTGGCTGAAAAGTGGAAGTCAGTTGTACAGAAAATTATAATTCGTATTAAACATCATTTTGAAGTTGTAATTAAACCCACTAGTTGTTCTATTCCCGTCAAGCATTCTCGTCGAAAAGTCTGTTTTGCCTTTTAAGCGAAAGGACAAAAATGTGATTTAGATCGTTCTTCCCCAGGACTCTTCATATGTCTTTGTAAAGCGCACATGAGCACATGTATGTGACAGTTGTGCGCTATAGAAATGTGTATAATAATAGTAATAAAATTATTCGCGGAAAGGAAAGAATATTTTCCCCTTTTCTGCCAGTAAGCTAAATAATGTGACCGTTAATAGGACTTTAGTGGGCGAAGCTTATGTGCAGAAAAAACCTAAGCCAAATCAAATTTCTTAGCTGCATTAGTTACATATATCCGAAGTTATTACGAACATGATTAGATTTAGGGTTGTTCTACGGAAAAGAGCATTATTTAGAGAGACTGGACCGTACGATGCAAATAGAGTGAACTACATAGCGGTGATTCTTCTCTTGTGAATAAATCAATTCCATGTGAAGAGGCTACACAAAAGAATTTATTCCTCTCGAGGCAAATCTTAAACGCTGTGTCAACAAGTTATCAAAGTCCAATAGCACGATTGCTGGATTTAACTTCAATATCGCATAAATGTTTTAATAAATCCATGGTCTTTGTTGTTTTCTTAAACTGGGATTTACAGCATATACCCCAAAACAATAAACCCAGTCTTCTTTAGCTATAAAGACGACATTATCGTACCGTCGTAGTTAACAAAACCAGCTATACTACAAAGGACAAATAGCTCAGAGAAAGGAGTATATTACTATGTCTAAAATACGGATGGTTTAATGATGTGTTCGGCTTGAATATCTGGTGAAGAATACTCATTATGCTTGATGGCTTGGTTCCCGTGAATATTGTTACGAGCCTATACCTATAAATGAGATGCGAATGGATACTTTGTTTCAGAAAGCATTCTTTAAATTAGACCGGAGATGATCCGACTGGATATTTGATTGGAATCCAGTCTTGCATTAACGGCATTACTAAAATTATTCAAATCGTTTTGGGGAGATAATCTGACTGGATGATTTGATTAAGAGAGAGAGAGAGAGAGAGACGGGGGGTATGGTTAACATCCACTGAACATAAACCTTGTCCTTTCGGAACTAATATATGGTGCAATTTATCTAAATTATTCACTTTTTCAGAAGTGGGGGGAAATCAATGATCTAAAACGCACATATAAGACTACTCGACCTTCCAGTACTTCCTCATGTTAGTATTAGACTGCGTTAGGACAACTTAAAGTTACAATTTCATATTTTCTAAGTCAAAACATAATTATTTCTATGTCTTTTGCTCAATAGGTTGTCAACTCACTATTATACGATCATAGGTTATCTTTCTCACACTTAAACATCTTCACACCGGAAATAATAACACATTTACCTCCCAATTACCTCCCTTGTTTTCCTATTCCCCACCATGGAATAGCTATCTTCCAACGTTTGAATTTGAAGTTAAAAATGATATTTTTGCCAATTTCTCAACTGGCAATAGTGAATTATAGGATTAATAGGATTATTCTTTAACAAGGTAGGGCTGTTTATAGATACCATCTATTTTAGGGCTTTATTTTAATACATTTTAAAAATATAACTTAAAAATATGAAATTGTAACTTTAAATGAACTCTTAATTGGTATCCGCCCTCACACGAGAATCGGTCACACTCTCCCGGAAGACCTAATACCATTTTTTATTCGGCTAGATTAACATACTGTTTCGGACACATAGATCGTATATTGCGGAATGCAAACCGTATAATTGTCTAAACCACAACAGCCTTTAAAACGCTGGAAGGGTTTTTAAAACACAGTAATTATACCAGGAACTCTTAAAAGGTTACTGTGCATTTTGCTAATTATAATTTCCACCCGCACCTTCTTGGTGCCAATTTTCTCTAAAAGCAAAATAATTTTGATCTAAAAGTAGGGACTGATGTAAATTATAATTACAAAGCGTAGTGCTCGGGGCCTTTTGGCATTAATTCTATAATTCCTATTTTAGATATACAGTGTAGACAGACTCAAAAGTCGTACGATGTTAATAATTGACATTTCGCCATCTTTACGAAGTCAAATGCACTCGGGCGTCTGAAAATGATGTCCGCATTTACTACAAACATCAAGATACACCGTAGTCAATTATCTGCATAATAGCTAGTTAATAAGAACGGTAGATATTTGATTAATCACTCGTCGTACTGAGAAAATAGACTTTTCAAAGACCTCAGCTTTTCGTTATCCTATTACCCAGATTTTCCCGCCATAAGTGACGTCTGGTATTACAGGCAGATTGGAGAGATTGATTTTGTGGAAAGATCTGACGCGAGACAAACACGCGCCTCAAGCTACGTATCTGTTCTCGCGAGATAAGGTAGCATCTTGACTATTAGATGACATCTGTGTTGGGTAGAACTGTTAAATACTCTTACTTTTAACCTTTCCGCTCATCTCCACCACTTATTATAAATCTATTAATTTACCGGCTTCAGCCTAAGTGGACAACATGAGCCATCATAAACCAAATTATTTCGCATTTAGTATTTCAAATTTTCCCACAGATTCTATATATAATCTTGATTTTAAAGAGGGCCAGGAAGTATTTTCCTTCAATTAAAGATGGAAATAGATTTAGATATGTCACTTAATGCTTTCTGTTGGGGCGATAACTAACACAAATAAATTCTAATAGAATATTTCAAATGATAAAAAGAATAACTTTAAAAAAAAACCTGAAACTTTTGCTAATTTGTATACATAAGGAGTAATATCTTGATAAGCTCGTCAAAGTTAACAGCCAAAAATGCCTAAAAGTACAGAATAATGATTGAGGAGGTCAACAAACCCTGTTCTAATTAGAAATCGCAATAACGTTTAAATTATCAACTACGCTACTGATCCGGAATTTTGATTAGAAAAGACTACGGATGTCGAATATATCAGTTTATCTAACACGCTTGATTCATATGTGTTGTTTATTTTTTGCAGTGTATTTGTAGTTTTGTCCTAGTAGTTATGGAGGCTGTTCAGCCATTTTTTTTGCGCGTGCGTGGGCGCATGCGCGTGCATGCATGCGCGTGCACGTGACCTTGCACGTGCATGACCCCGTGACCTTGCAGGTGCGTGACCCCGTGACCTTGCAGGTGCGTGACCTTGCACTGAATGACCCCGTGACCTAATTCGTCATGACCTTGCACTGAGTGACCCCTTGCACGTGCAGTGACCTAGTTTGAGAAAGAGGGCGCGCGCGCGCGGGAAGAGAGAGAGAGAGAGAGAGAGAGAGAGAGAGAGAGAGCAGAAGAAGAAGAAGAAGAGAGCAGAAGGGAGAAGAAGGGGAGAAGGGGAAGGAAGACCAAAAGAAGGGGAGACAACTCTTTTACATTGATTAAGTTGGCCCTGAAAAGGGCCGTTGGCCTCACTAGAACGTGAGGGTGCGACGCACTTTATGTCGGTTGCGTCTGATGGTCTCCACTAATTCGGGAGGGGGTCTTTTCCTGGGAGGTGTTTTTAATACCTCGTCAGGTAAGACAAAGATATCGTCAGGGGTAATCACGGCAAGAGTATTCCCTCTGAGATACAAGAGCGTATCTACGTTGAGGTTTTCCTCGAGGCGAATGATGGGATCGCCGTCAGCCATTCTGATACTGAGAGAGGGATGGTCCGTCGTTTTATTACCGTAAGGACGAATCCATTTGACGGACGAGTCCATTCTTGGAGTGACGTCATAGGACGAATCCATTTGAGGGTATGACGTCACAGACGAGTCCATGCATGGAGCGACGTCACAGCGCTTAGCATAACGTGATGCAACGTTATACATCGTAGATTGTACGTTGGAGACTAAATATAGACGTGATGTAACGTTATACAACGCATGTGCAACGTTATGTCACGTGGGGTGTACGATATCGAACGTTTGATGACGTCACGGCATATGGGGGATAAAAGGGAGAGACGCGATAGGTTTGAACACTTTCACGCTA